TCAACAAAATTTTCAGCACGTGAAGTCCACTGTTCCTCTAGCCACTGCCACGAGGACCCAGTAAATCCCCTCACATACTTGAATTCCTTCTTGGGGAGAAGAGTTGTGAGCAGAGTCACTCTGGAAGGCTAAGGACTTCAACCGAAGAGTCTAAGTCCTCTAAAGAAGGCCTTGGAATCAGCCAGTACTGGTAGCTGAACTTTGCATAATTTCAATATTTAAATTGAATACAAACTATATCAGAAGGCGTGTAATGCTATTAAAGACAAGTACAGGGCTTTTTGTTTACTCTTCAATCTAGCACATCAGGGATTGTTAATTAATCTAGGAAGTCTAGATTACCTGCAGAAAAATGCAGATGCTCCATTTCATTGGCATGTCCAAGTAGATGTGATTAAATTGGCATTAGGGGTATAGAGACCTTAAGAAAGTCCTAACCAGTTTCCCATGGCTGCAACGATGTTTCCAGAGGCAATTAAGCCTGTGATTGTTAATTTATTTTCCATTTTTGTGAGACTGTTGGGCCCAGTCGTTTGGTGAAATGTTAGTGTAGATGTTGCTTTGAATGTATTTTGTAGATGTGATTAACATTTGCTATCAGCTGAATTTAAATAAAGCAGATTACCTTCCATAATGTGGGTGGGCCTTGTGCAATCAGTTGACGACCTTAAAGCAACAACTGAGGTTTCTCAGAGAAGAAGGAATTCTACCTCAAGACTGTAATACAGAAGTCCTTCCTGAGTTCCCAGCCTGCCAGCCTGTCCTACAGATTTCATGCTTGCCAGTCTCCCAGTGGTTCTGTGGTTCTATTTTCTCTGGAAAGGCCTGAAGTGCCCCTCACCCCCAAGAATAGGTACCACGTTTTCTTGGCTGTTCTAACACTGGGCTCTGATCCATCCTCTGAACATTCCTCAAATCAGTTTCTCCATGTCCTGCTCCCTCTTCTTCCCAGGAGATATTCTCCAAAATGTTGAATCAGTTCTCAATAAAGAGTTAGTAACTGGTGAGCAACTTTATAGGGAGGAATTTAACAAGCATCTACTGAAATCTAATACATTGATATTTGTCTTGTCAAAACCATAAAACTATATGTTAAGAAAAATAAATAAATAAATACTCTCATTTCTAGCAAGGAGTATGATGAATTAGCACAGAGTGAAACAGTCAATAGGTTTACAAGAAGTTTTACAAAATGTAGATCATGTGTACCTATAACTTGAAACATTTAGATATTCATGGATGCCAATGGCTATACATAACAGTGAGAACAAAGCAGATGCCAAAGGACAGAGGTGCTGGTGATCAGAAGCCAGATACCCACTTGTCATGACTCTATACACTCCTAGGTTTGAAATAATCACCAGGAAAGAAAGGAGTAAAAAGAAATCCTATAGCTATTTTGTTTCCAACTGTAATGCCTGCAAAATATATGGAATATATTAAGATTCTGTTTTTTGTAATCAGATTGAATTAAGGCTGGAAATAGAGATAAAGGTGAGTCAATGAAAATACAACAGGAATAACAATTTTTTCATGCAACTATATGTGCTTTGATAATTCATAAAGATGATAATGATAAGAATGATGGTATTAAACAACTCCTTATTTACTAGTATTAGTTTGGACATTATACATTTGAGATATCTGTCACTTTATGAATTCTTTCCTTTTTGTTAATCTAGTTTCTTTCAGTGTAGCTTTTCATATTAAGTAAGAGTAGGTCTGGAAGATGTGGTAAGAAAGCAGTGTGTATGATGTATGTAAAAGTTCCTGTCAAATATAAAACATAGATATTGAAAGAGAATTGAAGTCTGTTTTAAAAAGATGAAGTGAAGGACAAGCCTTCAGACATGAATGTCTTGATTTACCATTTTGAGGATGCACAGAGGTGTATGTTAGAATCCATTGAAAAGTTCTGGAGAATTTCAAAACTGCGGATCATCTGTCAAGGTGTAGCCTGAGAAACTCTTAAGACCAGTCCCCAGATGGGGCAGCACAAACAAAGTGAAAATGGTGGTAATAGGAGGTTAGAGGGGTAAGTTATCACATCTCTCTTCTTTAGAGCCCAAACATGGTATTCCAAATATTTGAAAGTTCTTGAGTGCCCATGTAGGAAAAGCAGAAGGATACAGAAAAAATAAGAATTTATCAGGAATTAGATTTCTAGAGCAAGATTAGGCCAGTTGTAGGAAATAATGTTTTGCAGGTTTGGTCAGAATATGTAAGTTACAGTTCCAATCTTTTATCAAAATAATGAAGAGTTATAATTTTGAGTGATTTCTGGACTCTTAAACATTATTTCTTCTAATCTTTTCAGTTAGTAGTATTATTTCCCAAATACTTGTGACTGTCCCACTCACAATGGTCACGTACACTCCCCTACGGCTTGTCATCAGTTGATTGCAGTTTCTGTTGACTCTGAGCTGTGGGAGGAAATTAGGGGTGTTGCTGTAGGTTGGAGGATTTAAGATTCAATGTGGAGTGCAGGACTCCCACAATGGCAGAGTGAGAACCTCTGTATACCTGCTCCTTCAGCAGTGAAATGCTGGCAAAATGTGTCAAAATGATTTTTTTTTCAGAACTCTGAAAATTAACCAGATGCATGCAACAAAATGAGCATTTATTCAAGAAAAATAGAAGAACCTTATAAGAATAGCAGGGTTTGTAGTTTTTAAACCTTGATCTGTTTTAATACTCCTTTCTCCAATCCTGTGATAGGCTTGGAAGGTAGCAGCCTTATAGCCACTGAGGGGGCAGACTGGTTAGGAGCCAAAAAGCCCTACTCCCAATACATTGCCACGCTGTTATTTGTCTGGCAGTTTCCTAGAAAAGCCACATTCACAGGACATTGATGTTATTTCACCCTCGGAAGGAGGGGAAAAACTTATTTCTAGATTTGCCACATTATTTTGTCAAAAAATGTCCAATTTTAAACAAAAATGATGAGACATGCCAAGAAACAACAAAGTATGTCCCCTACAGGGAAAAGGAATCAAGAGAAAACAATGTCCTGAGAGGATTCAAATGTTGGATTTCATAGACAAAAATTTTAAATCAACTATTATGAATAGATTCAAAGAAATAAAGGAAACCATACCTAAAGAATTAAAGTAGAGCATGACAACTTGGCAGTCCCATCAGCAAAAGTTGGAGGACTTAATGGTTCAAGCATTTAAGAAAATCTCCAAACAATTATTACATGACTATTAAGTGAAGTGAACAGAGACAGGTTCTGCACACCATAAGGGATACAGACTTTATAAAGTCAAAGGAAAGTATGACAGTAATGTCTCACCATACCGATAATATCAATCCAAAGTAATTGCAATAAAAAAAAAGAGCCAAATAGAGATTCTAGAGTTAAAAAGTACAATAACCGAAATAGAAACTTCCCTAGTGGGGTTCGACAACAGGTGAGGTCTGGCAGAAGGAACTTTTGTCAAACTTGAAGATACGTCGATTAAGATTATCCAATCAGAGGAGCAGAAAGAATAAAAACGAAAACCATGAACAGAGTCTCAGGGATCTGTGGGAACACCACAAGAAAACCAGAATCAACCTAGTGGGAATCTTGGAAGGAGAGGAGAAAAGGGGCAGAGAATATTGAAGAGAGAATGGCCAAACCTTCCCAATATGATGACAAACATTAATCTACTCATCCATCCTGGTAAACGTGACTATTAAATTCATCTAATGACATGGCTGGTAAAAAATCATGCCCCACATTTCTGGATCCCCTCCATCTCTATTTGTTTTCGTTTATGCTTGAGAATTGGTCAGTTTTAGCCAGCTAATAATACGTTGCTACAAACAAGTAACATTTAGCAAGCAAATCACAATAATTCTCTGGCTTTTTCCAATTATTTTCTGTGAAGCAGCAGGTTTCCTAGGCACTTGGTCTATGTTCCAGATTATTGCAGGCAAAAAATATAGCAAATGTTTTGCTACTAAAAATGTATGCCTATTTTTTTAAATCCATGATATTATTTCTTGTCACCCCGATTTGGTTGCTAAATCAGCAACATATTTTAGGCTTTAATTATGATACCATGACATTTCTGCACATAAATTCTTCTTTATTGTATCTGAAGTACACATTTTTAAATGATTTTAAGTAGGGAGCCAATTTTCTCAAAACTATTTCTTGAGATGACTAAGCGAGTGTTTTCCCAACTTTTTTGGGGTTTTTTTTGCTACAACACAACAACACTAAAAAAGAAAGTTATATTGTCATCCTGTAAACATGCACACACAAACACATGCATAGCAGATGGGCCAACAGGATATCGTGTCTAAACTGAGTCTGTTTCTGGCAAACCTACATATATGTGAGTACCCTGAGTATCCTTTCTGCTGCTAAACTGATTTTTTACAATAGATTTTTAAAAAATACTGCATATTTAGCAATGGCATGAGAACTAGGTTAGTCCCTTGAGAACTTAGAACCAACATGAATTTTGTATCTTGATTATGGCACACTATTTATTAAATAGTAAATTTAATGATTAAAGTAAATAAATATCTATCATATGATAACTACATTTTATTTAAAATTACAAATGTATCTTTAACTTAAAATTTATATCCTCAAATGTTAAATTACAGCTTCATTTGATCTAATTTTAATAGTACTTAAAAGGATCGAGAATAAACAGTAGATAAAACATCAATCATTTGACTGTCTAAAAGAGGTCTTTATTATTATAATGGCTAATAATGAAGGACATAATCTTAAAACTGAAGCACTGAGTTTTCTATAAAAAGAAGGTAAAGGCACTATATAATTTCCTAAAGTTTAAAATTTCATGGAAATACATCTTTATGATGGGAGGAGAACAAATTTTAAAGATTACTAAGACAAAAGAGAATGTTATCACGAGCATCCTTAAACAACTCTTAAAAAAAGGAAATACGAATCTGGAAGCTGAAAAATCAAGGATTTTTGTTTGTTTCTTTGTATTTATGCTGTGGTCTCTCAATTTGCAATTTTTTTTTTTAAGGCCCATTCACAGGACACCATCTGAACACAACGCTGTGTGGAAGATGCTGAAAAAGATTCCAGATTTAACCTCTCAGCTAATTGATGAGCATTTGAAAATACTTAGTAAGAGTGTCATTTCTGAAACCTGGATAAAGGGAAGCACAGGTAACAGACGAATCTGGAGGGAAATTTGGCAAGATAAAAATGTGTGTCACTATTTTGAGATGTCTACCATTACAGCATTCATAATTTCACTTGACATGTTAAAATAAACTGTTTGGATGTTTTTCATTTGTAAGGTTATAAGTAGTGAAACAAATAACATTTCACATTTTAGTACTTATGTTTTAAAGATACACGAGGAACTATATTCAGTATCTTGTGGCAACATTTAATGGAAAAGAATATGAAAACAAATATATGTATATATATGCATGACTGGGACATGGTGCTGTACACCAGAAATTGACACATTGTAACTGACTGTGCTTCAATTAAAAAAAAGGAAAAAAAATTAAAAAAAAGACACATCGTAGTTTTTCTCTACTTTGAACATGCATCAGAGTCATCCAGAGGACCCAGTGAAATGTATTGTTCTGTTTAATCCCTTTGGTTTCTGATTCAGTGGGTTTGGGATGGACTTAATTTGCATTTCCAATAACATTCCAGTGGGTGCTGCTAGTCTGAGGACCACACTCTGAAAACTGCTTATTGATACACACATTTAATAACAATCTAGCATTGGTTTTCATAGTTAAGACAGCAGGTGGTCAAGGCAATTATTTGACTGATCCAGATACTGAGAAGAAAACTTCTTGACGGATTTTAGTTTAGTTTCCCAATTTTAATTTTTAGTCCCTTTACCAGGGATATGTTGGATACATTAATAGAAGTATTTTATATTTTAATTTTTTTGGGGGGGTGGCAAACAAATAAACACACAGAGTCACACACACACACATAAACCAACAAAGTGCAACATCATTTTGTTGCATTTATTGAGTACTTACTAAAAAAGAGGAACTAAATTTATTTAATGCATTATTTATGTGAGGGGCATCCCTTATTTATTCCTCACAGTATCAAATAAAAGTAGGTATTTATTATTATTATTATTATTATTACTATTATTATTATTATTACACTGTACAGATAAGAACCTAAGTCATAAAATATCATGCAGAATATTCCTGATTAGAACTGAATTTCATACACACTTTAGCCTTAATGCTAAACTCATTCTCTGCCCACTTTGGCAATGTTTTTATAAAGCAGTTCATCAGAAGCATGATATTTAAACTCAAACTGGAATTTTGGACAACATGTGTCTATTGGAAAGATTTTCATATTTTGAGAGTTTCCCTTCCTTATTATTGGTTTCATTTAATCTGACATCAAGCAGTGAAAAGTAAATCACAGGAGTTTTCGCAGAAGATAAATGATTTTGAAAAGGAAGAAAGAACAAACATCCAGCATTGCTTTGCCGTTAGCTTGAGGATGATAATTAAAAATTAATTTGTTCTATCATAAATCTCTGAAATTGTACTTATTTTGGTAAAAATATGAAAGCAATTTAAATGTCCTTTAATAGAAGATCGACTACATTGTGATACATTTATTCTATGGAATTCTAGGCGGGTGTTAAAAAACTGAGGTAGATTTATATACATTGACATAGAAACTTATGAAAGACAACCAATAAAAAAATAGCTGCAGAATTATATAAATAATATGATCATGTTTGTCCTATAGAACCTGAAATTATAAGTGCATATATACATACAAAAATACACAATAAAATCTACATAGGAGTAGATCCAGAAGAATACTCCAAAAATACATATTTTTAAAATGATTACGTTCATGGAGGGAAGAGGCATTAAGGGACAGTGGAGAGGAACAGCTGCATGAAATAAGGTTTTGCAACTCACATTTCGATAGGGCGTATTTTCAAACATATTAAAAAAACTTTGGATTTTTCTGTGTTTACATCTCTCTGTGCCACAACCCTTCTCTTGAGTTTTTAAGACACCTAATTCTGACAGCTCAGATCTGTTTCACTATCAAAGCAGTCAACTCATTAAACATCTGACCTTTGTCAACCTCTTTGTTCATTCAACTTAAAAACAAGCTCCATCAGGAGTGTTTCTTTTTCCCTTTTCTTTGCTGGTGTGCGCATTTCCCTCCTTCTGTGGTTATTTACAGTATTCCCCCTAGTAACCCCTCATCACCAGGCTGCGGGTTTTCAAGCTACTGCTGTGTTTTTTTTTTTTTTTCCTGTAATTCCACACAGCTATTTGCACCTTCTGGCCTCTTTTCTGGCCACGGGTTCTTTAGAGCTTCATTATTTAAGGCAGCTTCCTAAATTTCCCATCACCCACTTAGCCTCTCATGTATCTGGTTTTCTTAAACAACAAAATATTAACAAGGATAACAATGTTATGATTTCAAGTACTGAATAACACATGCATCTCTAGTTTAGGTGCCAGTGGTACTAAAACATGATTACTATATTAAGATTACTATATACAAAGATTACTTCCATGACTATAATACAAATACCATATATATTTTATATATAGTAATCTCTTTCTATATGCTACACACATATATAGATTTAGTTTACTTGTAAATTCAAATTATCTCAAGAGTTTTCCACTGAATCTCACTTTAATGGCCTGGGCAGAGGGCATTTTTATGATTAGCAACTTAAAGCTCATGAAAGCTAAAAGAATTAGCTTACTTGAGAATCCAGTTTAATGGCTAACCAGTAATTGGATCCCAGATAAAAATTGTATTAATATCTACCTTTATATTAACATTAAAATATTCCTATGAAATGATAGATAAAGCCTTTTTTTTTCTTTTACATCTATATCATCTTTGCTGTTTCTTGAAATCCACTAAGTCTTACAGTGTCATTTCTCTTCTATTTCTTTCATTTTACTCTCACTTTTATGAGGTTATATTTCAAAAACACCATAGCTCCTCATTTAAATAAATCTTATATTTATTTTTAATGCTGAAAAATACTCTAAAAATATTAAATCTTTAATATTTCTTTAGCCTGCATAGATTTATTTTCTGTCATAGTTTAAATTTTACGTAACATATAAAAACACAGTAAGTAAATCTCATGAAACATTTAGTGGGCACTTTCCCCATGAATAAAGTAACCATAATCCAAGTATGCTCTCAGTAAAAGTAATAAAATATTTAGTCCTACCACGAAGACCATGGCTGCCTTCAAGTGGACGTATGTTTTCACTACAGCAGAGGGATTGCCTATGGTTCATGAAGATTCATCCTTGAAAGCCACCCATAAATATTTTTTGGTGTTTACCTGCATTTTGGGGACCCTGTTCCATTTCTGCCGTGCCCCGTCCAAGAGATGATTGTGATGTTTTGAGAAAATTAATGCAACAAAACTGCTCTTCAATCTCAGGACAATTCTAGAGACCCCTGCCGTGATAGTATTTCTTTAATATTGTCATTGAATCTTATTTTCTAAACAGTGAAACTTATAAGCAGAGGTGATGTTTGAACTACTTAACACCTGCTCAGGACAGACCCTGCTCAGTCACAACAAGCGCCTGCCCTGAGCAGGTGGAATACATGTGTCAGTAGGTGACAACAGTAATAGAAGCCCCATATGGGTAATTTCCTCCATTTCTGTTACTGAAATATTTTTAATTAGTAAAGACCTATTTTTCAGGTTGCTTTCTATAATTGTGCTGCTCAGTGCCTAGAATTTAATAGTTTTTTTTAAAAACCTAATTGACTTTATTGGAAAAATGATCAGAAGAGAACTAATATTTGTTCATCCTGTCTAGGCTACTTCTTGGGTTTCCATATTTTCAGAAAAGTTGGCAGTTTTGCCCAATCACAAGGAGTTTCTTTAAAATAATGTTTTTATTGAGTTATAGTCAGTTTACAATGTTGTGTCAATTTCTAGTGTACAGCACAATGCTTCAGTCATACAGGAATATGCATATATTCATTTTCAAATTCTTTTTCACTACATGCTACTGTAAGATATTGAATATACTTCCCTGTGCTATACAGTATAAACTTGTTTGCCTATTTTATATATATCAGTCAGTATCTGCAAATCTCGAACTCCCAGTTTATCCCTTCCCATCCCCTCCCCCCC